AACAAACAAATAAATGGTAATTATAACAGTAATAATAATTTCATTATCATTAAACTATGTGTTATTAAGAAGTGAGAAATGAAACATAAATATTTATTTAAGAAATGAATAGTATAGATTTTCAGAGGATAATAATAATAGTTCATTTTGTTTTATTGGACAGGCAAATAATAAAAAAATGACTAACAGTTATACTATATTTAAAATTTGTTTGGGTAGAACNTTTATCTAGTCGCTAGATTTTTACAGAATTCGCGAGGATATGCGAATGAATCCTGAGTATCTTGTGTCTAGACCACAACTTCACATCATATTTGCTTAAGATCCATTTTAGTATTATCATCTGATCTGCTTCTTTGTCTCCAAACTAATCTGTTTCTCTCAGGGTTTTTTCTAAAATATTTAAGTATTTCTCAATTCCCGAAGGATGCTACTTGACTGTCACTTCTAAACCTCCTTATTTCGGTCGCCCTAATAATATATGAGCACTCATTATGAAGTCCCTCAATATGTAATTTGTTCTATGCTCTCGTAGCAGGTCGAAATATTCTCATGGGGGTCCTGCTGTCAAACACCATCAATCTGTGTTCTTCCCTTCTTTTGACAGACGAATAAAAACAGAAACATTTATTGTGTTAATACATTTTATTAACATTTTCTCTTTTTTTTTACCTTCATATTCTGATTATAACATTAATTCTCAATTCTCTATGCAGTTTCTGTAATGGAGCTAGTCTGCAGATGTGTTCTGCCTACAACTGAGTCGGTTGATGACTTACTTTATTGAATTTGAATGCTAAGTTCTTGAGGCAAAAACTGAGCAAGTTCTTTAATACTGGCCTTAATGGTGGTCAGCTCCATCTCAATATTGTCCAGTTTCCTCGCCGTGAAGTTTGCAAATTCATACCTGGATCTCTCGCGCACTTCGTTATGCGCATCTCTCTGTCCCTTTGTTTTCTGCAAATATCTCCTGCAGCTTTGCGAGTTGAACTCTTCTAGAATAAAAGGAGATTTGTTTAGAGAAGTAATTAGCTCATTCAGTTTCTTGAATACGTTCTGTATCTTGCATATTTTTTCAGTTTTCCCCTGCTTCTCGGCTCTTGCTATAATAGCATCCACAATTTGTTTCGGAAGGGCGAGTTGTTCACTGTTCCACGGACTCCCGGGGCATATTTTTATGGGTGGCTGGACTTCCCTCAAACTATAAGTTATTTTCTTCAAACAATTCGACATAAACCACAGACCCAAATCTGAAGGTTGAATTACTCGAAGAAAGTCCGCCTGTTTCCTTAGGCGGTTCATTTTGCCTTGTGTCTCCAAGGAGTTTATGTCGCTGACAGCCAAGCCAACCAAGAGATTCATGAGAACAATGCCCACAGTAAGGAGGAAGAACAAGAATAATATTCTTCCAAATTTGGAGGATGCGTTATTTTCATTTTTTTTGAAAAGGCTAGAATATTCGAATTCACTTGTCATCATAACTATGGTCTTGACGAAGGCCTCCCATGGCGTCTCGAACGGCGGTTCGGATTTAAACTGCACCATAAACGCCAAAGCGAAGCCGATTATGAGGAAAATGAAGGTCAGTAGAACCTTAAACAAAAAAAGGAAGCGTAGCATAAAATTAGTCTTAAGTGGTACATCTCAGTGCAAATACAAAATTAACCGGGCTTTGTGAGTGATGGTATTGTCACGATTTCTCTATGTGGCTGTAGACGGGGTATGGATTGGTGAACGGATTTGTTGAACACTTATAACCACCACTCGGAACTACAAGTAATTACAGCGCCCTCGCTGATCCTCACACTTTTCAAATCACCACAGCACCCGCTAAGATTTTTCCAGTCTGCTTTATCTTCACCAGCCGTTCCCTAACAGCGGCTCTAACATTGGAGATTCTTCAGCCTCCTGCTCTAAGATTCTATATTCACTGCCTCCCTTGCAGAACTCAGTTCTCAGCAGACAACTGACAACTAACTGGGTCCCGCAGTTGTCTTCCTTATAACCATTTTGCAAGGACCGAGTAGATAACACCGTTTCCAACATTAACTCTATTGCTGTGTTCGTATTCGTTGCCACGGTAACGTGTTTACCAATCTGTTGAATAGAAACGGGTTGCATGACACCGTTGTTTATTTACCTATTGTATAGCAACGGCTGTACATGCTACAATATTGAAGAACATGCTCATCATTATATATATATATATATATAATGAGGGCATGGCTTGTCTCGGACTGTGAAATAGGAAGTATCTATAAATAAGTGATTAATTATAAACCGTTCTTTGGTCCATCGCGTCTCAGTGTGATTAGTCCATTCATATGAGAAAGACTGTGTGTACAGAGCGTGACTGAAAGAAGCGGACAAATTTGGACACGAGACCCACATATCAAAACCAGAAAAAATATCCATATCAGCACATTTTTTCTGAATTTCTCAGTTTGCTTTGGGATGTGTTCTACTCGTCCCTTTTTGTATGCAAATTTCTCTTACTTTAAAATGTGATTATTTACAAACCTTAAGGACATTTACAGCGACTTTGGAGAACATGTTAATATAGAAGCCCCAGTTCGGGTTCTTGGACATCTGGAACATCAGCTCGGTCCATGAGAGGAGAATTGCCACTGTGGCCACTAGGCGATGCCACTCGTTGTTAGGGCTGAAAATTGTCACTGTAAAGGCTAGAATGTAGCTGCTCCACTTCACCCATGATTCTAAATCCGTGAAGTAATATTTCGGAAGCCGATAGACAGATTCTGCTTCCTGACAAACAGAAGCAAACAGTAACGTTAATGAAATTCTAGAACACTACTGACCAGCATTCACTAACACTGATATTGTGTGACGGAATGCTGGAAATATAGGATTTTATACTTTCACATCGGTGGTTATGGGAACTTCTATCTTCTGTGATTTAACGTTGTTCTTGCTTGGTTTATTCTTCGACTCTGAAGATGGAGGCTACATGTTCCTCCGAAACGTTTGTTCACTTTCAGCGGACTACCCTGCGATATATCACAGAATATAGAAATCTTTAGAGTATAGGGAAATTTTATAATCACTTTTACTCTCTTTCACACACTGACGATTGTATATTGTCATTAAATATACTTTTAGTGACGTCAAAACCTTCCTGCTAATTTGCCTGTCAACGTTTGACAATTTTTTTATGAAATGAGATAACCTTACTTTTGAATATTCTTAACATGAAATGCTCTCTCAATGCATTCAACGCTGTATCGACTACGGAATTTTGGTGTCAACAAAACACCGTCGTCTGGGACGGCAAGCAAGCAGGCTTTTGAAGGGAAAATCGTTATTATTTCAAGGTATCATTACAATGCGTGCCACAGTATGTTCTAAAGTAAAATATGTATTTTTCATCTCAACATAAAATGCGTCAGTAAAAAGTGTTATATAAATTGTTTTCACTGTACTAACCAAAGCTAATCTTAATGTTAAGAAAACTAATTAAAAGCAATATCAATTGATTGTTCTTTATAAAAAAAATTTGTTTTTTTTTTTCTTTTGCGAACTCGAACTCGGGCGGAAAATTCCTATACTTCCTCTTTCTCTCACTTCAGGCCAACTCGTGAGACACAGGGTAGCTTCACGAAAACACTGCAAACTGAGAGTCTACTTCCAGATCAACACAATAACTCGAACAAATATAAGATTACTTCAAACAGGCAGTAAATTCAGGTGGTCTATAAGGATTTTGCGCTGAAATACCTTAATTTAGCTAAGATATTTCCACCTGTGCCTACACTGAATTGATTTACGATATTTTTATTGAATATTTGAAAATGTGTTACTCTAAGGGAACTCTCATGCCGGAGACAAAACGTTAATTTCTGAGACATGATACAGCGGGTGAAGAAAATGTTTGATATAATTGAATGCAGTGCTTAACGAAGAATCTCATTCTTAGTAGTTCGATTTCATACAGTAATTATTTAAAATATTTCTGATGTGGTGAAGTCTGCAAGAAATTTGATTATTGTTGTTATCAGTACAGATTCTGATGTAACATTTTCACTGCAGAATTCTTCAATCTTGAAATGCAGTAGAAAACATCTCAGAACAATAAAACAACGGGTTAGAAGTTTACGAACTTAAAGGAAGCTTATGTCTCAATATTCTCGTTGGGCTCGGCATAAATCTATCCCAAATATTAGACAGGCTACTTAGAATGAATTTAAACTGAATATAAAGTTCAAATAAACAAGCTTTCGTCTTAAAATTTTCTATTTCGAAAGTAATTAGAATGAATACGGCTTGGCGCCATTCTATAAAACTTCCCCTTAGAATAGGTCATTAGAAGAGTCCGGGAAAATAAGGGATACTTGAATTGAATGGAACACCTTTGCTACTTTCAGAACTGATAATAGCAATGAAACTAATGATCAAGGAAAAGCAAAAAAAAAAAGAAAGTGAAGTAGGTGTTTATGTCTAGTAGCCGGACTTAATCCTTACTGTAAAGATAGCCGATAAGTTTCCGAAAATGTGACACATTTCAAACATTTTGAAAAACAGTAATAAATTAAAATACGGCAAAAGTGCTTTAAGATCATATAAAATTCAGTTCAGAATCTTGTATCCGGTTTTCTTCTATCTCAGAACCAAAATCTTGAACTGTAAATGCAATAATTTCTCACTAGTGTTCAGGAGAATTATTGGCCGAGACGGAGATGAGAAATAAACACAAAATTTTAATAGGAAAACCTCCAAAGAATAACTACTTATGATGTATAAATATGGATTGGAAAATCATATTTAAATGAATATTATGAAGGTATCACCTGGATTCCAGTGACTCAAAATGTATCTTGTGGCGGGCTTTTGTGGACATGGCACCGGACGTCTGGACCACACAAACGCAGAAGGACTATCAGCTTTACAAGAGAATTGTGCACAATGGAGCCGATTGTAATTGTACGGGCAAGAGAACTAGTCGGACCCAAACGTAAGAATAGTGGAAGAGGAAAACCCCGCAGTGTAAAGCCAGGAAACAAGTCGCAGTTCCTCCCACAATAAATGTTTTTTTAGGGTATGAATACATGTGTGCTCCATTCTTTCAGCCTTAGACTGGAGATAAAGCCGATAATTATTGCAGCGACAATAGTAGGCCTACATATAAACGTCCCCTATTTTGCTAGATCTAATAAAACATTAAATTAAAGCGGCCTCCGTAGTCTAGGGGTAACGTTCCCACCTCGTGTCTCAAGGTACGCGGGTGCAAACCCGACGGAGGTCGTGGAATTTTTAAGGACGGAAAAATTCAGGGACTTCAAGCCGTGGGTCCCGTGACGTAGCTTTACGGCACGTAAAAGAACCTCATGTCCCAAGGGGACCACTGAGCCAAATTCAGGACATTTCCCGCCCAACAGTAGTCTCTAATGCCTCTGGTAGATGGGGGAAGCATCGAGATACCGCTGAGCCAGTAGAGGCCGAACTCGCTGGCTGAGTCGGGACTGATGGCACGCACCAGTACCGGTAGGGTATAGAGACTGGTAGAATATCATAGGGGGACGCACAATGGACCAACAGTTGGTCTAAGTGCATGGGGAAACCCACCCTCTCCAATACAATACAGTACAATACATTAAATTAATAAATCAGTTCATTCTTTAGATATATGAAAATATATGATATTATATTTACCAGAGCGACAAGCCAGAGCAACGTCACTAGAATCGCAAGTCTGACGTATTTTTCGAGTATGCCTTGCGGAACTCCATGGCCATTAGCCGACAGATGGTATATTGAAACCACGAGGATGCTGAAGCAGAACAAGAAAATGATGTACATGACGAATGAATAGTAAAACCATCTCCTCCAGCAGCGCCATTTCAGAAACAGGAAGCTCTCAACAACCGGATGTAGTACCAGTGATTCCTGATTGCAATCGATACCCGTGTCCAACAATGCATCCAGCACTTTCATCTGTTTATTGGGTTTTTCGCGAGGCACCAGAAGCTTGTAGTCAATAGTGATAACACACTGTGGATCATGCAGAGGGAAACCGTTCATATGGATTTCTGAATCTAGAATTTCTTCCAGGAGTGCAATAGGCCGAGACACTTTGGTAAACAATAAACTGATTGCAGTGGTTTTCTCTTTGTTTGTCTTTGCTGACAAATCAGCTCCTGATAATAACAGTTTCCGGATGCATTCACGCTGGCCGTATTGACAAGCAAGGTGTAGCGGTGTGCATCCATGACTGTCTTTGGATTCGATGACTTCCCTTCCACTGTTGTGTTCCAGAAGTGTTTCCACGACTTTGGAATGACCTTTTGAAGAGGCCAAATGCAAGGCGGTGCAATCGTTATGGGACTCAATTGTCGTTCTCATGGTGACATCACATCCGGCCAACAGAAGTATCTTCACGCAAGGTGCGTTCCCCGCAAGAGAAGCCACGTGCAGTGGAGTCATTCCCTTCGATTCTACTTGGTTGATCAGAACTCGTATGTATTTTTCTTCATGTCTAATGAGTTCTTTCAGTACTTCAGGACAGTTGAGCTTTGCTGCTCGGTGGAGAACAGTCGTTTTATCAGTCAGTGTGTGTCTCAGAGAAGCTCCTGCTTCCAAAAGCAGTCTCACACAATCCACGCTTCTGCTCTTCACAGCTTGAAATAGTGGTGTATCTTCGAAGTTATCTGGAGCATCTAGTATCTGAAATATGGAAAAAGTTACATGAACTGCTTATGTGGAGAAAGTAGGTTATTGTAATTTTACGACTTTCAACCCATTCTCACAAACACCATGATTTGTACGCCCGCCAGTTATGTTATGGAATTTTGTTACTACATTCTTAAGTAGTCTGGAGGTTGCGGTGAGCGGTGGCCAGGGGCCGGCACGCTATGCCCATTTGCGGCTCCAGTAACAAAGATTTGGTCACATTCCATTCCTGCAACTAAGCGTAATATTTGTACATGCGTTTTATTTTACGTATGATAATATGTGATTGCTACAAAGAATTGCACTGTAAAAGTAAGTAAAGCTATCCCTGTACCAGTCTGTGAAGGCCCACAGGGTTGTGAGACGTTGAGGGTCATACATTATCTAGACAATGGGGTCAAAGATGGCGGTAAGTTTAAGAAAGACAATGAGTCCCTCAAAAAATGGTGGACCCCGAGAAAATTTGAAACTGCTTTAAAACGTTTAAATTTTAGTGACGTTATTAAATAAATTACATTGTGTAGCCGTACGCATCCTTCACGGAAATGTCTTATTTGTTCGTAAGTAATGGTTAAGTTTAGCTGTAGAAATAAGATGCTCCGGAGGGATCATGGTCCTCTGAACTGACCTTTTGTTGCGAGGGACAGAAGGGAGGTTGGTGAGTCCATTGCATTCAGGGGGGGGAGTAGGTATACCTTCTTTCGTCCGTGCCTGTGGGGTTGGAGGACCTGTGGATAGAAGCTTCGAGAAGGTATGCAGACCGGAAGGGATCCGTGCGTTTGGTCATGAAGCCCTCCCAGTGGAAGGTTCGAGATGGCTGTAAGAACGTGGTTTCTGGGAGCAGCGGCGGTGGTAATTGGGCAGTGGGTGAGTAGAAGCCAGGGAGTGAGGGTGTTCAGGTGGAACCTGTGCTGAGGGATTAACCGATCGAGCCCGCATCCAAAACGACGTAAGCGAGCCAACACCCGTGTACCCCTGGGATACAAGACTCATAACCCTGAGTTTAGCCGAGGCACTACACCGCGTGGAAGTAAAGCGTGTGAGGCAGGTGTAATTGGATACATTTTTTTAAGATTTTATTTAATAAATATATCTTGATTCCGACCGGCCGGATCTGGGAGTTTTCTCAAAATATTTATTTTTGTGCTCTGAGTTAGATATACTCGTATATGCATAGACTGTTGGTTGGGAAGTATAAATTAAGTGTAATGGAATTCCGTCTACTCTGAGTTCGCTTGAAGAATGTCTGTACTGTAGAAAACCAGTGAAAATGTTACCTACTTATTGACTATGTAGTCTAGCGACTGACATCTTAAAACAAGCCCCCAGAACATATGATATCGAATGATTATTTGCATCTTTTGTAAAAACTCACTGATGTATTCATACTTCTGAATAATTCAAGAAAGTTATGTGATTCACGGTATTCTTCCATCTCTTATTGCATCTGGTGTAGTGGTTAAAAGTGTCTGAATTCTTTCTCCTTAAGATGAAGACAAAGATGAAAACCGAATTCGACATCAGCAAAGAATTCCTATAATTTATAAGAATCCTACGCCATACTTATAAATTACAGTGGGTCATTACATACTGGCTGACTTTTCAACTTATAGCATCTACTCTGAATATTTGATTTCTGTGCAAAATAATTTATCTCTTGTTCTAGAATCGGCTCGCCCATATCATATTTCTCATACGTGTGTTGTTTCTTCAGAGAAATGTAGGTACATGCAATGAATCAGGAAGCGATAAATATTCAGTAGAAAAGAATTACACCGAATTGTGTCTTACAGTTTTACTCTCAGGAATATTAAGCATCTCTTCCAGCACATCTCTGTTCCCACTCTCCGCCGCCAAGTGTAAAGACGTTGCCCCGTTAGAGTTCTTCTGGCAGGTATCAGCTCCCGCCTCCAGCAAAATGGCGACACCCGTCCTCCATTGACTTGCTACAGCTGTATGAAGAGGCGTGTTCCCATTCAAGTCTTTCATATCAACGAAAGCGAGACCAGACGGAAAAAATGTCTCCGTGCCTTTGGTACTGGTCTCGTTAATTGCAGCGGCGGGACTCTGAAGTAAAACTCTAAGAGGAGTTTGAAGGCGAAGGGACACGGCGAGGTGTATGGGGCTCATGCCGTTCTTATCCAAGTTCAAGACACCCGGGGATCTCGCTATCATATCGATGGCCTCCAGTGACTTCAGAGCTACGGCTGTGTGCATCGGAGTTGTACGGACCACACGGTGCGAATGTAACAGCTCTGCTCCAGCGCCCAGAAGAACTTCATACACGTCAGGAAACCTGAAATAAACGAAAATCATACTGAGGTGGTACTAATAAAGAAATCAGTCACTTATATATACCAGTTCTTTAAATTTATTTTATTTTATTTTATTTGAATAAGGAAATAGTGTTCTTCTTGCATTGTACTTAATTTTATGGGTCATTTAAGAGTTTAAAGTTCCTGTTATTACTGTATTTTTCTTAATGTCATTGTATATGCATATAGAACGCATGACTTCGGGTTAATTAATATTGAAGATGACAACGTCAGTGTTTTACCGAAACGCTGGAAAACCTTAAACACGGTACGCTCCGTATGACTGAAAAAAAAGTAAAATTAAACTAAGTAACTTTTAGTCCGCAAGCGAACTATACCGACCGAGCGACCGTCGCTTGCTGCGATGTTAGTGCCAACTTTTCCGTATGACTGAAAGGCCATTCCATGTGAAGTCATCCAGAGAGGTCGCTCGCCATTTTTTTTAAATTCATATTTTGTACGCTTATTTCTACATATTTTCACACTTCATAAATATTTTTTAAAAAATTATAATTCGCTCGGTTCTCCCGGTACAGCCGTTTTTATAGTGCAAAAAATCGCGTTTTCGGCTCAAATGGAGGTTTGCGTTATATTCTGTATCTCGATAACTATTGCATCTAGAGACTCCAATGAAAAACCAATTTCTTCCTCATGACAAGGACTACAAATCATATTATTACAAGGTTTTACTCAACTCACTTCCTCTAGGTGTAATTAAGCTCGAAACTTACCCATCGATTTTGGGAAAAACGCTACTTTTCACCTTCAGAAACCAGTGAGAGGGGGAAAGTATCAGATTTGTGGTTTCTACCCTTTGTTATTGCCTACATGAGGAATATAATCACGCCATTTTTAACCATGTACATATTTTCCAAAATTTTCCAGGAGCTTCCAAACTGTACTTTGATATTTAACTAATAGCGAAGTTCTTATAATGCAAAAAAACGCGTTTTCGCCTGAAATGGAGGTTTGCGTTATCTTCTGCATGTCGATAAATATTGAAGCTAAAGACTCCAATAAGAAACCAATTTGTTCCTCATGATATGGGCTGTAAATCATATCATTACAATGATTCACTCAACTCACTTTTTCTAGGTCTAATTAAGCTCGAAACTTACCTGTCGATTTTGGGAAAAACGCTATTTTTCACCCTCAAGATCCAATGGGAAGGGGAAGGTATCAGATCTGTGGTTTCTACCCTTTGCTATTTCCTACATGGGGAATATAATCAAGTGGGCCCTTTGAATTTTACAGATTTAGCAGAAAATTGTTCGTTTCTCGTTCAAGACGAGATTCAAAGTTTCCACTGGGTAAATCAATAGGCTACACTTCACCCTTTTGTGTATTACTACAAGGCGGACACTATAAGAAAATGCCCAAGTTTGTGTATAATCAATGGATCATGTATAGTACGATACAGCCTCAGTTTATGTGTTCCAAAAATTTCTTATCGCCGATATAAAAGAAAATGTGCCTTCGGTCAGGAAAGTTATTTATTTCAGTGATGACGCTGGAAGCCAATATAAAAACAAAAAGAATCTTTCCAATTTATGTCNGAAACAGGGTCAGGTGTTATAAAACATCCAAGTCCGACGATTTCAAAGACAACATGATGGTGTAAACTTACTGAACTAAGTGTACTTTCAAACAAACTAGACAATTTTCATCGGAGTACACAAAGAACTAATACCACTGGATTCAGGTAAGCCAATTATTGAGGTATTGATTTTTTTGGTAAAATTCAAAGTGCCCACAACTTCGCTATTAGTTGAATATGAAAGTTGTAATTTTAACTCCAAGTTACTCTACAATAGAGTATTATTTGCTATGAATTTCAATTTTTTCGGAGCTTTTCCACCGGAGGTATGACATGTTAAAAATGACCGACTTTTGTGCCAGAGCAATGTTTGGAAGCTCCTGGAAAACTTTGGAAAACAGATACGTTGTTCAAAACTACGTGATTATATTCCTCATGTAGGTAACAACAAAGGGCAGAAACCACAGATCTGATACTTCCCCTTCCCATTGGTTTCTGAAGGTGAAAACTAGCGTTTTTCCCAAAATCGATAGGTAAGTTTCGAGCTTAATTACACCTAGAGGAAGTGAGTTGAGTAAAACCTTGTAATAATATGATTTGTAGTCCTTGTCATGAGGAAGAAATTGGTTTTTCATTGGAGTCTCTAGATGCAATAGTTATCGAGATACAGAATATAACGCAAACCTCCATTTGAGCCGAAAACGCGATTTTTTGCACTATAAAAACGGCTGTACCGGGAGAACCGAGCGAATTATAATTTTTTAAAAAATATTTATGAAGTGTGAAAATATGTAGAAATAAGCGTACAAAATATGAATTAAAAAAAAATGGCGAGCGACCNTTCTTTGGATGACTTCACATAGAATGACCCTGAAACAGAAGTCATATGTTTTACTCCAGCCGCGAAAAACAAAGGAGGAGGATGCATATAGAAGTTTATTCTAAAGCACAAGTACGAGATTGCATAGCCACAAGCGATAAAGGAATGTGCTATGCGAGACAAACACCCATTATTTTCGTATGGCTTATAAAATAATCCGTGCTAAGAAGGGATACTGTAGCTCTTGTTTACGTGTATTACATAACATTATAATTACCACAAAACTTTCATTAGGACGTTAAAATTCTTTATGCTTCAGGAACTGATGATAGATCAGCGATTCAGTGGCACCTTCATAGCACAGTGGGTTGCACGTGTTGTATTTTTTCGTTGAAATCCTAAAGGGGCTTGTATTTCAAAAGTAATATCGAAATTGTCAAACGAGGATTTACAAAATGTAATGTTATTATCTGATGATCTCTCATTCACAATATTTCGTCAATTTTCTTACAGGGATGCATTTCCTAATTTCCGAAACTTGTTATCGCCAAGGTTTCTAAGCAGTTTAACAATAACAACGTCAGCGTGGACCTGTCTTACTTTGTGGCTGCATGTAGATTCGACCCTCCAACCAGCTTTTCTCCGATGACGTCGATAGGCGTCATCCCGTCGTCGTCTCTAGAGGTGACGTCTGCTCCAGCTCCCAGAAGTGCCTCGATGCATTCCAGGTGGAGTCTCTGGCTTGCCACGTGCAAAGGCGTGCTGCCCGGTTCGAGCTGTGGCAGCTGAAAAATCTTCACATGACTGAATCATTTACCTTCCTCATGGCTGTGTAGCCTTCATGTGAGTTCTGCACCAGGTGTTTTATTTACTAACTTAATTTACTCATTTTCTTGTGTTCATTACATTTTAGAATGAATAATGTGAGATATTCAAGAATGTTTTACACGGCTTAAAATGAGTTTGGACGAGAAAGAGTCGTTTAAATTTACATAAAGAGTCAAATAATTGTTTCAGTTATAAAATACAGGGATATATTTCTCATCTTACTGGAACCAGCCGCTAATGCTGCTTGAAATGTGTTTTGCTTAGTATTCAAATAAGTTACTATTAAAAGTCAAAATATGCCGCAAAAATGCAAAAGGATTTCTGCAACAAATCTTAAGAGTTACGTCATGGCAGGAATTACGTCATGGTACGCTGGAACGCACGGCTGAATTACGGGCTGTATATATGCCGAGCTCTAAACGGAGCCCAGGTACAAACAGTAGTGGTGTACCAAATATAAGAAAATGTGTCGTTATTTATAAGTCACGCTTTGGCCTCTTCTCTTTGTAGCATCAAATTAAGTAACTCCGTGGATCAGAATGTTTCTTGTGAAGCTAATAATTACTTGGCTACTCAAGAAATATCCAGCATTAGATGAACCTGAAGTTTAATTACTATGTTAACAAGAACCCTCCATTGGTCCCTATCGTAAGCAGTATATCAATGAGATCCACTTTTGTATCATCCTCCCATCTACTCCTAGACCTTACAGATTGGTTCTTTCCTTCTGGTGTCTTGTAAAAACTTTACATTTATTTCTCTTCAGCCCCGTGCGTCCTACGAGTCCATCCCATCCCCTTAATTTCGTTTACCGTTCTAGTGACATTTGTAGAGAAGTAAAGACTCTTGTTCCNACTACAGCTCAGAAAATCTGGTAGAGCCGGGAACAGAACCCAACACCTCTGGATCTGTAGCTAGGATCTCTGACCACTAGAGAGGCGGTCTGTTATAGCCTCTAATAAGTACTTCAATTTGAACTACCTGCATTCGTTTTTGGAAATTCTGTGTCGTAGTGGTGAGGCGAGTACTGACTGACCTGGTTCCTAATGTCGGCATGATCGTGGCCCCACGTGTCCAGTACCTCCAAATGCACTTGCTTCTCGGCCTTCTGTCGTCTGATTGGACAGTTCAGCATGTCCATGGCGCTATGCAGCAGTAATTTTACACATTCATCCTTGCCTGACCAGGCTGCGAAATGCAGAGGACTTCGGCCGTGCGGGTCCAGGACCCGGGGAGATGCCCCTCGCTTGAGGAGCAGCAAGAGGATGTCTGTGTTACCGGTGAAAGCTGCCAGGTGGCAAGCTGTGTTTCCTAGTGGCTCGCAGGTTGCGTTGACGTTCGCGCCTCGGTCTAGGCAGCTGTGTGCAACATACCGTCTAATTACACCTTCCTTCTTCTGTTTCATATTTGGAATAAGTCGACCGGCCAACTGGCTCTTCCCACTTAAATTTTTGTATCTTTACTTGTTTCCTCCAGGAAAATTCGGGGGCAATGTAATATCTCCCACGACAATTTTCTTTCACATTTCACCTTTTAGAGTTATCCTACCATTTTTTGCCACTAATATTTGGACTTGGTAAACATTTGTCCCCCCTCGTTGGTGCCTCCACCTTATCGTGGTGAGGGGGTTTGAGTATGCCAAGGACCCTGAGAGCTATACCAGCGGTAGCGTAGCTACTGGCAGGGCCTCCTTTGCTGGACAGATCAAAGGGTAGGAATCAGACGAAGAGGGACACCAAAAACCAAAAACTGATGCCAGAAGCAGCGTCATCAGCAGCGACTTAAAGCACAGAGCAAATGATGCTCGAGATGGTTCAAGTTCGTATAGCAACAGGCGTGACCAGAGTGGTTTGAACGGCTGTTGTACTGCGATGTGGAAAGCAAATGGAAAAACTACCACATTATCACTTTTCCTGGATAGTCTCTTTCCAAAAACAGAGACACCATGTATGCGAACCAGAAGACGTAAGAAGATGCTGGATGACCTTGGGGACCTTGGAGGAACTGTTTTGGGAGAGACTGTGGACCTGTCGTCTGACAGATTGCTGATGAATGAAACATTTATCGCTGACAAATGACTGATAATCCTCTTTGGAATTCGTGAGGCCCTGGATTCAAATTTCGTCTCAGAAACCGGCTGGCCTGTCATAACTTCATAGTTTTCTTCATTTCCTCCGGACAAATGTCATGGTTACCCTCGCTATGCCACTGCTGGTTCATTCAACATTCTACAACCGTTATCAAGTATTATGACCCTTCCTGACACCCATAACGTCTGTAGTTACACGTCAGTAGCTTACTCAGCAATCAGTCAAGTTAGTGTAGGATCAGTAAATAAACAAACAAGAATACACGAAGCTGTTGGATATATTCGAACTAACAAGGAAGCTTAAAGAAATCTGCGCCATCTGCTACAGCTCAGGAGAGGAGCATAGACATTCTCTTCGCTAATAAAAATGGAAGTATATTTTAATCGTATCATTTAAGGTTATACTTGCGTTGACCTCTCCAAATTATTATCTGCAAGATGCAACAATCAAGGAAACTCCACCCCCCCCCTCCTGCAGGAAAACTGAGCCTGATATTTATACCGGGGAATTTACAAACGCAAATTCGAAGCACTTTAATTTGGAGCAACCTCATTAAATACTTGTACTTGTCGAAAATCTACATAGTTTACCTTTGAATCTTAAATTTATTTCTTCGTAACAGTATTGTTCACATCAGGGTAAATGCGATGCAAGGACGGTATTTGAAGAAAATAGTGCTTTAAGATAAAAGGCAGCGTAAGTACACATTGCACTTCTGCTTAATATGTGCATTTAGCCAGTTTCAATTAAGCTAATAGTCTGATGGTGACAAAACCAATGTGGTCCTGCTCAATCCAATCGCTTTTCTTCAGCACATGCCGCCTTTATAAGGAAGATGTTAAAAGCTGAAATTTGTCTTTATTCTTTCCATATAGTAGATTTTTCTGATTAACTGCTGTAAAACCGATCCCAAATTCTGCGCCAGGCGCCATTAACCAGTGAAGGCAAACAGGTGTCACAAAGAGAAGAGATAAAAAACGCACAGTAGGTCTACAAAATTTGTCTAGTGTGGAGTCATAGGAAATAGAAATCACGTATTTATCTGTAATTGGATTATTCGGTAACTGAAGCATAACATTTCGAATCTGCATGGTTTTACACAGAGAACGATATTTTATTTCTCTTCGACTTCAGCCCAGAGCTTTGTAATCCTACCCATTGACAATTACTGGTAGAGAAAATGAAGAATTTCCCTTCAATCTGAACAGGTAGGTAAATGATGTATTCCGAAAACACAGCCGTATAAGCTTCACTAGAGCAGAGCATAAGTTAGGAACAATGACAGTCTTCCAACCGTTTGTTTGTGGACGTTAATAGATTTCAATTCCTCGTAGATACTTTGATGCTATTTTACGATTAAATTCCTGGTACTGGGTTGCGGAGAGCTTTATGCCTTTTTAAAAAATCGTCTGGTTGCTAAAGCTCGTTAGAATTCCTTCACCATTCTCTACGTTGAATTCAGTTCAGTACAGCTTATTTATCCAAAATGTGTTCTCCATAATATCCATTGTAGTAACATCCTGCCTCTATATTTCCTACCGTTAATAATGGCTAAAGAACTTTGTCCCATAATAAATCATAAATATGATGGCAGTCTAAAGCCCTTTAAGGTGTAGATCCTAAAAGTTTCTGACGATGGTGGATGACACACAGATTTACTGGGGTTGGGGACTTTTTCAATCATCCGGAATTCTAGGTAACAGAGGACAGTAGAGGTGTTAAAGGACACGACGTTTCAGAAACTGGATCTGCTTCCGTCTTCAGGTGAGAAAGGAAGACTAGCGCTTTCTAAGGGGCCCAACTGAGTAGGTGTCTTCCTTTCTCACCTGAAGACGGAAACAGATACATTTTCTGAAACGTCGTGTCCTCTATTGCCTAGATTTCCGGATGATGGAAAAGGTCCAAAAACCCAGTAATTCCTTTAAGTTGTGTCTGACTTATTTCATATAAACATCAGTTCTGCATTTGCTATACTTTTGCACGGAAGGTTTCAAATTATTAATTCTGTTCATGGTCTATAGTCCCTCTACCCATAAAAGTTTTAAAAGCAAAATATAAGTCGTAAGAATTGCCGAGAATCCTTGTTATCTTGAAGTTAATAAAACTGTAATAAGATGAAAAAACCTAATTGAAAATGATAGTATCTGAAAGAAATCCTCTAAGAATCGCAGGGAATCTCCTGGAGTTCCGTAAATTTACCTGACAACCTTCTCTACAGCTCCCTGTTCCACTGCCCTCAGGAGCTCAGAGTTGAGCCGTCGCTGTCTCCTATCCAGACGCCTACATCCTTGGTCGGCCAGTTCGTCGGACAGCCAAGACCAATGACCGTCTGTCTCCTTCGGACAGTGCAGATGACTCCATCTTTCCTTTTGCTCTGCTGACTTCTCCTTGCACTCATCAGACCCCTTTCTCCTGCAGAACACTTTCCGACGGAAGGATTTCCTCTGACCGCGCATTTCGTCTCCTGATAAATGATCTGAGATAAACAAAACAAAGAAACTCCGTGGCCTGTAGTCCGCAAGCGAACTATACCGACAGAGCGACCGCCGCTTGTCAGCGAAGTTAGTGCCAACTTTAGCGGATAGAGGGTGTCGCGTGGTCAGCGCAACTAATCCCCACGGCCGTTAATTTCAATTTTATAGACCGGAGCCGCTATTTCCTTGAAATAGCTCCTTAATTATCCTCACGAGGCTGAGTGGACCCCGTTCCAGACCCACTACTTCTCAGAAAATCTGGTAGCGCCGGGAATCGAACCCGGAACTCTGGATCTGTAGGCAGGAACTCTGACCACTAGACCACAGAGGCGATCTGAGAAAACGATTCATATTAATATGCAACTACTGTAACAGGTTACACTATCGTTACTTGTACACCCCATGGAGATTTAGTACATTCCTCCATCATTGTGATATTTGCAAAATATTTGGTGCTAACCAACTCATGAAGACTTATATTCACTGAGGAACAACTCCTTTTATTTAATACTAGTTCTAGTTTCGTGTTTCCACGCCGTTGCGGGAAGGAAGTAAATTAGCAATATCTAGGCCCTATGGTTGGTTTCTTGTGACTTTCATAACTGAGGTAATTTCGTTATTACATTCACCATATTCATAGCGTGTACTAGCTGAGGCTGCTTTTGTATTATGGCTTTTTACTGTACTCTGGTAACGAGAAGTGAAAATCACAGATAGAGTACGAAATTCCTGTCGATTAGGATGGAACAGATATTTAAAATCTGTTCCCCAAGTGGCAGAATGTCACGTACCATGAAAATTCCAATTAAAATTTAATGATCAATCTCCGTTAACAATCGTACCTCTTCTTCACGATTCGCAGTTGCAATGTCACGCGTAGCACGAAGAAAGCCTATCCGCCTCTTCACCCACGAAAACAGTTTTAGGAGGCCCTTATTAATTTATACACAAATTATGAATATGGCCTCTGATAATAAGAACTGGCAGTGTCCTCGGTGTGTTACGTTAGCATTAGTCCTATAGCCCATTTATCTCTTTACGTACACAGAAAATATCTCAGACAATTATTTGAGATATAAATTAGCTAATAGCTGATACCCGGCTGCATGACGGATCAGTAATAACTACAAATATAATTACAGGCTACGCACATTTCTGAATGAATCTCTGTGCGATTACACCAGTCTCCAACGGCCTGCAATAACGATGAACGGTTCTTCTGCCGACGGACGGACAGAAAGTGAAACTGTAATAACAGTACCATCACTTATTAAAGTGACAGCTCATGTTGCTTAAAATTCATGTCATCAGATAAGATAGTGCTCATCGCACTGATAGAGAATACACGACATTGAACTCAGGAAGAGCCGAAAGGCAACATGGCCACTGTTAGCTACGCCTCTGCTCGAGCTCTCCACAAGTCATAATATTTTCCTATCTAAAAATATGTAAAGCTATCCCTGTAACAGTGCATGGAGGCCCATAGGTTTGTGAGAGGTTGAGGCTCCCACATTTTCTAGACAATCGGCTCACAGATGATGGTAAGTTTTGACAGTCTTATGCGCCTACTGCTCTTTACACCCTGGAAGATTCCTGGTACTCATTTCTGTTAGAGGCTGAGTCGACCCCAAAGCCATAATGCGGATGGAAGGATTAGGTCAATTGAAAAAATCCACCCCATCGATACTCGAACCCGCGACCTTCCGACTTGTAGAATAGTGCCTCAACCAACTACGCTACCGCGTGCCCCATTTTCATATATATTCCTTCTCAATTCTCAGTAAGCTAAAAATTAAATATCGTCTCTACATCCTCCAGAGAAACACTGTATGAACTGAAGGGGGGGGGGGTACAAGTGTTCGTCTTTCACGGCCCAAATGCCCGGATATCTTCCTGTTCGAATTTATTTCCGAACTATAATTTTTGTGTGTGTGGCTCAAGGACCGTGCATCAGGCCACCACGTGGTCTGCACCTAGAAGGGACAGAGGAAAGGTGACATACACCTATGATCCGAGTAGGGCTTGCTCTCAGCAGTTCAAGACGGTGCGACCCATCAAATTAGCTCATGCTGTAATGTTTGTGGGTTTTGTTTCGGAAGTGACTGGTTTGAATCGCTGCTGGGACACCAGTTATTCTGACAGAGGATGGTAAGTCTTTTCCCCAGTACCTCCAGACAAATGCAGGGTATAGTGCCTTAAACTGGGCCACTGCCGCTTCCTTCCATATCCTTAGCAATTAATTATTTATATCGTCCAGCTATTCGACCCTCTAGAGTCCGAGTTGCTGACAGCATCTTCAAACAAACAAATAACACCGTTAAATGAATGAAATTGTTGCACGTTTCTGATATGAAATCTGCGGTGAAAGTTAGTGAATAATCAAGACAGGAGAGAAATAACTCGAATATTAACTAAAACCACACTTGAACTCGTCCATAAAGAGATATACGTAAATGGTTGCTTTTATTCTCGTATGCTTGAAGTAAAGGGTGTCCGGATGGAAGTTATCCAAAATAAAATAATTATATCTCAGAAAGCATTTATTATACACATTTATTGGTTACACCATTACAAAAGGAAACTATCAGAGATTCTCCTGAGTAAATTTCCTCGGTAAATTTCAGTGTGATCTCCCTTGGTGGCACGACAAATATCCAGACGATATTCGACCTCGTTCCACGTTACTTGAAGCATGTTCAGTGTTACCGTAGCCACAGCGTCCCTTATGCGGTCTTTCAGGTGTTGAAGGTCTTCGATCTTAATCCGGTAGAAAATGTTCTTCACATAACCCCACAAGAAAATATCCACTGGCATTAAATCTGGCGACCTAGGAGACCAAGCGATTGGTTCACCTCTGCCGATCCATCTTCTAGCCATCTCCCTGTCCAGGTGAGTCCTAACATGGTGGCAGAAATGTGGCGGCGCATGCGCATAAGCCGGGCATGAAAAAAAACTTTCCTCATGTTTTCGCCTGTCTGTCCAGGCTATCTGAGGATCATCCCTAAAAAACAGAGGAGAATTTAGAGTCAGCAGTAGTGGTCGGAGCCCTCCTGTCGTTGAAGATAAAGTCCCATTTCAAAACAGATAAATGGTCTTTAAACTGACAAAAGATGGCCATTGGTCACAACGGGGACCGAAACCAAAAATAATTGTGCTGGAGAAAGCCAGCAGCAAATCATTATACTGCTCTTGGCGAAAATTCCTTCTGAAACTTTTATACTGTTCGCTCATAACTATGTTATACGTTTAATATTATAATCAGCTGTTAAATTAATTTTAAAATACAGAAAAAAAACTGTCTTATAATACAAGGTGTGGCAATAAAGAACCCGGATTACTTTTATGACTCATTTCCGGCCACGTCATTGACGAAGAGGAGGGTAGGGCATTGACCCTTGGACTTCCCTCTACCGTCACACAAAGTTTCATTCACGTGCATCGGTTAGTCTGGCCGCGACCATTGTTAGAAGCGGATCGTGTTTCTGAGCTCCGTCGGAATAATGCTGAGTGCTAATGCAGAACAACGTGCT